GGAAGTTGCAGGCTGCTCTCAAATCCCCCCTCGCTCTTCTCTTCTGCAGACTAAACAAACCCAAATCCCTCAGCCTCTCCTCGTAGGTCATGTGCCCCCATATCATTTTGGTCACCTTCCAGTGGACCCTCTCCAACGCACCCACATCCTTTCTGTAGTGGGGGGCCCAGAACTGGACACAATATTCAGATGTGGCCTCTCCAGAGCCAAATAAAGGGGAATAATCACTTCTCTATATCTGCTGGCAATGCTCCTCCTAATGCCTCCCACACCTTGGCTGCGTCTACATTGGCCCCTTTTCCGAAAGGGGCATGCTAATTTGACAGGTCGTAATAGGGAAATCCGCGGGGGATTTAAATATCCCCCGCGGCATTTAAATAAAAATGTCCGCCGCTTTTTTCCGGCTTTTAGAAAAGCCGGAAAAGAGCGTCTACACTGGCCCCAATCCAGCCCGATCCTCCGAAAAAAAGCCCTTTTCCGGAGGATCTCTTATTCCTCACTTCAAAGTAGGAATTAGCATGCCCCTTCCGGAAAAGGGGCCAATGTAGATGTAGCCTGTCAGAAAGTGCCAGTTGTGTGGCTGCAACTGTGTGTAGTCAGGTGATTTTTCCGGAGGATCGGGGCCAGTGTAGACGCTCTTTTCCGGCTTTTCTAAAAGCCGGAAAAAAGCGGCGGACATTTTTATTTAAATGCCGCGGGGGATATTTAAATCCCCCGCGGATTTCCCTATTATGACCTGTCAAATTAGCATGCCCCTTTCAGAAAAGGGGCCAGTGTAGACATAGCCCTGAAGTGTGCAGTGTTAGGCACCTGTTGGAAAGGGCCTCCCCCCTCTTCCCCAAGGGAGGCATCTTCTACAGCCCAGACAGACTATTGGATGAACTCTCCTGTCCATTATATCCAACAACAGCATCACAATAGTGACAGATCCAGAAACAATGTTAACAAACACGAAAATGAAACCCTTGTGTTACACTAGATAGATAGATAGATAGATAGATAGATAGATAGATAGATAGATAGATAGAGGGGGTGTGTGGGGATAGATAGTAGAGTGACCACAGAAATCTACTCTGGTGTTCATAGACTTTGCATGTGGTTTTGCGCCAGTCCCGCACTGTGGACACTGTCGCGATGGAGGCCTGGTGCGATCTCACTGGGGGCGTGTTACTCAGTGCGCAGTTCAGGGATCTCGTCCTGGGAGTGCAGACAAGAGAGCATTTAAACAGCTGTCAGAGATCAGCTCTTAGTGTGGGAGTGCTATGGGGAGAGGTCCCTCTTGGCAGAGTGAAGGAAGTGATGGCCTGAGAGGCTGCGTTGCAGAGTGGTTAGAGACGAGACAGACAGATCAGTAGGTGAACAGACTATGGAAACAGACTGAGAAAAGCCCAGGTCACAATGATCCTTCCGTCTTTATGAGCCAGGTGAGTTGATTCAGGCTTTTCTTCCTTTTCAATCTGATTTTTTCCTTTCCAGTCCAGAGGGCCAGATTCTGCCTCCTGTTATCTAAGAGTCTGCTGACAGGTCCCATTGTCTCCTGGCTGGAGACAGCCCCCTGTACTGAGACCAGATGAGTGGGGGATACCTCTTAATGGGTTGGCATCTACTGGTGAGAGAGACAAGTTCTCGAGCCACATGGCATATTAGCCATGGCTTCTTTCTTCGGAGTGTGTGTATGTGTGGAATTAGCTATGCTACTTTTTTAGAAGACCCTGAACTTCATTAAGAACATAAGACACACTCTATTGGGTCAGGCCAATGGCCCATCTAGCCCCGTGTCCTGTCTGTGACTTTGGCCAGATCCTTTCGAGGGAGTGAGCAGGTCAGAGCAGTTTGCCGAGTGAACCGTCCTGTCATACAGTTCCAGCGTCTAGCAGTCAGAGGTTTAGGGAATGGGGCTGCGTCCCTGCCCATCTGGGTGAATAACCATTGATCCCCCATTAACTCTCCTCGTTCTTCTTTTTTTAACCCAGTTACTCTTTTGCCCTTCACGGCATAATGGGAGAATGAGAGCTACAGCTTGACTGTGCATTGTGCGAAGCAATACTTTGCCTTAAGCCTCCTGCCAATTAATTTCACCCACATCTACACTGTGTAGCTATTTTGGGATATCGAAGGTGTCCCAAAATAGCTACCCCATGTCTTAACAAGCCACCCATTAGTTCAAAATATGTTTTGAAAAAAGGGCACGCTATTTTGCCATCCTGGTAAACCTCATTGTTTGAGGGTTAAGGGATGTCTCGAACTAGTGTGTTATTTCAAAATTTGGCTCTGTGTAGACATGCCACATTTTCAAAAGCTATTTCAAAATAGAATCAAAATAAGATATGCAATTTGCATAATGCAAATTGCGTATCTTATTTGGAGTTTAAGGCTTTGGGCGTACCATGGGTTGATACAGAGGCATTATGATATTTTTTGTCTTATTCTCTATCCCTTTCCTAATGGTGCCTGATATTCCGAGAGTTCTCTTGACTTCCCTGTTACACATTGAGTGGATGTTCTCAAAGTGCCTCCAATGTCTCTTTCCTGAATGTTAACAGCTTATTTAGATTGGACTGTTTTGCATGTGTGGTTGTCCAATGTGAATTTCTTTGCATATATCAACACTCAGTTCCGTCTGTCATTTTCTCACCCCATCACTCAACTTTTTGAGACCTCCTTAGTAACACTTTGTAGTCTGCTTTAGATTTAATCATCTTGGCTATGTCTAGACTGGCCACAAATTCCAGAAAAGGGATGCAAATCAGGTAAGTCAGCATAGGGAAATCCGCGGGGGATTTAAATATCCCCCATGGATTTAAATAAACATGTCCGCCGCTTTTTTTCCGGCTTGGGGAAAAGCCGGAAAAAAAGCGTCTAGACTGGCACGATCCTCCAGAATAAAGCCCTTTTCCGGAGGATCTCTTATTCCTACTTGATCCAGCACAGCGCGTCAGTAGAGATGCAGATCTGTCGGCTGGGGAAGCCTTTACCGACCGATCCTGTAAACCTCTGTCGACAGAGCCATGTAGTCTAGACATACCCCTAGATATTTGTCTCATGAGCTGATAAGGATATGAAAAGATGTAGTTTGTCTTTAGGGTCTTATGGGGACATTGGGCACTGGACATTGGCGAGAACATGAGCTTCATTCTATTAATAAAGAGGTCAGAATAGCCATTCACTTTCATGAGGGCAGGGCAGACTCCCGTATATTAGAACTGCCTGACATTCAGATGTGCAGAACAGTGAATCAAAGTCCCACAGGGTCAGATTTTCAAAGGAGCTTAAGTGACTTAAGAGCTAAGGTCTCACCAATTTTCTATCCGTCTCTTTTCAAAGCTATGTCTCTGTGAGTACTCTACGTCCCCAAGCACATTTGTTTCTTCTGGCAGTTCCCTGGCAATTTTCACAGGAATGAACCCTTTGAGATACTACAGATATTAAATAGCATTTTCTGCAAAAGAGCCCCCAAGAATAGACAGTAATTGCCAGGCAAAGAGATGACTGACCATGTCCTGTCTTGGTGTAAATCATCCATAGATCTGCTGGCATCCATGGGATGGTTCCCTACAGATACAGAGTGAGAGGGAATGTGGATGACTTGATAGCTGCACCTCGGAGTCAGAAGATCCAGCACACAAACAGCAATGCCTCTTTCATTCTTTAGCCAGAGTAGAACCACTTCAGGAGAAGAGGTACAGACCCACCATCCCGGCTGAGCAAGGCGGTTGTGAATCTCCATAGGGCCTGATTCTGGGATTTGGATGTCTAACGGCCATTGGGTGCACAAGTCTTTGCGCACATCCAGTGTCATTGATCAAGACCTCAGGAGGTCATCGAGACCAACCTCCTGCTAAAAGCAGGACCAAACCCAACTAAATCATCCCAGCCAGGGCTTTGTCAAGTCAGGACTCAAAAACCTCTAGCGATAGAGATTCTACCAACTTCCTAAGTTACCCATTCCAGTGCTTCCCCTAGTGAAATAGTTTTTCCTAAGACCCAACCTAGACCTCCCCCACTGCAACTTGCTCCTCATTTTGTCATCTGTCATCTATTTAAAACACAAGTTTCATTCTCTTTCTCTCTATATATATTCTCCATAAATTTAGTCTATTAAAAACCTTAATTTTGCAAGGACTCTCTTTACATTCCTCCTACTTTACCGATGACCTTCACATACCATTTCAATGTGACTTTTATGTGATTTGTTAATCTGTTTTTTTTCCTGGTCTTTCAGGTCATATGTTTCCAGAGTAAATACCAATGAAAAATCAAACCACAATCACTGAATTTATTCTCCTTGGACTTTCCACTGACCCATGGATGCAGATTTTCCTCTTCCTGGTGTTTTTAATTATTTACATGACGACTCTGGTTGGGAATGTGTTGATAATGCTGGTGATAAAAGCTGATTCTCACCTGCACAACCCCATGTACTTCTTTCTCTTCCATTTATCCTTTGTCGATATCTGCTATTCCTCCGTCACGGTACCTAAAATGCTGGTGAACTTCCTAGCGGAGCACAAAACTATTTCTGTCCATGGCTGCATTAGCCAGATGTTCTTCTTCATTCTCACAGCCGGGACGGAGGTTTTCATTCTCTCAGCCATGGCCTACGACCGCTACGTGGCCATCTGCCACCCATTGCGTTACATGCAGATAATGAGCAAAAGGATCTGTGTTCAGCTGGTGAGCGGGGCATGGACGGTCGGAATTATCTATGCCCTGCTTAACATGGGTTTGGCCCTCAAGTTGCATTTCTGTGGGCCCAATCAAATTTTCCATTTTAGCTGTGAGCTCCCTCAGCTATTACAGCTGTCCTGCACGGAGACCTTCACCAATGAAATGGTGCTTCTGACTTCCGCTGTGATACTCGGAGCCGCCTCCTTCCTCCTCACCTTGGTCTCCTACATCCCCATCATCGCCACCATCCTGAGGATCCGCTCTGCACAGGGCCGGCGGAAAGCCTTCTCCACCTGCAGCTCCCACCTGATTGTGGTTGGGTTCTTGTACCTGGCAGCGTTTAGCCAGTACACAAAATCCAGCTCTGTCTCCTCTACGGTGTTGGAGGAAATGTTCTCCATCCAGTACAGCATCCTGACTCCCATGTTGAACCCCATCATCTACAGCCTGAAAAACAAGGAGGTGAAAACAGCGGTGGCGAAATTACTGCGGACATTCAAGGGATGATGATGGGGCATTGAGTTTCCTGTATGAGAACATGCTTCAGATAGGAACATGACGTAACTCCGAGGTGCTCTGCGCAGGATGGCTCATGGAAGGCATCGTTGGAAAGGTTGCGATTTGCTGAATATGAGCATCCCATTCGTAGGCACGTCTCTTTGGAGCTGAAGTGAAGAAGATTGACCGGTGTATCTAGATTTCGTGTTTGCTGTCCTGGGTCGCCTCCCCGCCAGCGCTTCAGGGATTACAACGGAAAAGCCAGAGTGAGCTGATGGCCCATCAGCTTATACATTGGGCTGTGAATTGTCTTGGCCTTCCTGCAGATGTTCCATAATGTGGCAGCACCCTGGACTGCCGACCTGTTCCACAGTGGAGTGGGTGGGAAATCAAACAAGCCCTACCATGGGGGGTGGAGAGAGGGGGGAACTGGAGGCCAGGGGGCAGATGGAGGCCAGGGTCTTCCCCACCCCCCAGAGCAGCTGGATGGCAGATGGGTCATCTGGAAGCCAGGGCCAGGACATCCAGGAGACTGGGAGGCAGGGGCTGCCCCAAGAGAGCCCCCAGACGTGGGAAGGAGGAGGGCACGGGGGTAGCTGCGGGCAGGGGCTGGCCCACAAACTGGAGGTGATAGGGGGCAGCTGGAGGCTTGGGATGGCCCTGGCTGCTCCCCCAGGAGCCGCTGGCCAGGGAACACAACCTCAGACCCCCAGGAGGAGTGGCTTCCAGAGCAGCGACACCCTGCAGGTAGCCCCAGTAAATCCCTCAAGGCTGCCCAGCCCCCCTTCCCTCAGCCTTCTGCCGTGGGTCCTGCACCCTCACACTCTGCCCTGACCCCTGCACTCCCAATCTCTGCCTGACTCCTGCACCCCCAAACCCTGCCCTGAGCCCCACACAGCCAAAACCATGCCCTAACGACAGCTGGGCCTTCACCCACCACTCGTGCTCTCCCTATCCATTGTTACCAGGAACCCCGGCACTGCACCCAGTGATAGACTTCAGGGAGCCCAGTGGTTTTTTTCAGCCCTGAAAAGCTGCAGCACCCAAGCCCTTTTGTGAATTTGGCTCCAACCATTTTGACTTTTCTTTCCCTCTGAAACATTTTATTGTGCAGCCTGCCCCTCCGGGGGGAGGTGGGAGGAGAAACACTAAAAAGGGGTAAAACTACCCAGAAATGAACGAAAAGTCTTGGGCAGCTGATTGGCTGGTTGGCTGGTTACAAATTGAACAAAAACAGGTTTTTGTTTTGGCGAGAGACACATTAAATAGTTTCATTTACAGAGATTGTGTTTTGGTGTCCCAGCTGTGCATTTCTTACCATCGTTTCTTACCAAGGGGAGTGGGGGAAGGGAGGGGGTAATTGCCCCTGGGCCCAGTGATTCAAAGGGGCGTTTTCCTTTGTCTAGCCTGCCAACGGGGCACTCATTCTGGGGCCTGATTTCAGTGGAAAACAGGCTGCTGGAAAAGCATCTTACCCCATCTCCCCACCATCATCAGCTGGGACATTCCCTTCCAGCCAAGCCCTTACTGATGAGACTAACATATGAAAAGCTGTTACTGGAGATAACCTTCCTAAGAGTGAATTTTTGAATTTCCCCTCTTCAGTCACAGCAACACTGCAAAAGGGTGGAGTTGGGAAGAGGTTGGGGAGGGGGGGCAGATTTGGTGATTCTGATGAACCATGCTGGGATTCCATGGTTAAGATTCCGGGGTGTTCTGGGTTTCCTTCGGACACACCTGTGATTCAGTTTTGGGCACCACATTTCAGGAAAGATGTGGAGAAATTGGAGAGGGTCCAGAGAAGAGCAACAAGGATGATGAAAGGTCTAGAGAACATGAGCTCTGAGGGAAGGCTGAAGGAATTGGGTTGGTTTGGTTTGGAAAGGAGAAGACTGAGAGGGGAAATGGTACAGTTTTCAAGTATCTAAAAGGGTGTCACAAGAAGGAGGGAAAAAAATGTTCTCCTTGGCCTCTGAGGACAGGACAAGAAGCAATGGGCTTAAACTGCAGCAGGGGAGGTTTAGGTTGGACATTAGGAAAAACTTCCTGCCTGGCAGGGTGTTGAAACACTGGAATAAATTGCCCAGGGGGGTTGTGGAATCTCCATCCCTGGAGATATTGAAGAGCAGGTTGGACAGACACCTGTCAGGGCCAGTCTAGATGGTGCTTGGTCCTGCTGTAAGGGCAGGGGATTGGACTTGACGTGTCAAGGTCCCTTCCAGTTCTAGCATTCGGTGTTTGGAAGGTGCACCATGATCAACACAATTCTATGGTTCCTGAAGGAACAGGGCACCCCCATTCTGCTTTTAGCACACAGACTGCTCAGAGGGAAGGCAAGTGGGAATATATTTAATAAAGATCAGAGAATTCAGGGGCAGCCAACGGACACGGGAAACAAAGGGGGTTACGTAGACAATACAGTCTCAGTTCACATTAAATTTAGAGCCTCAACTTCATTCAATGAGACTCTCCTCCGTTCTCTGAAGTATAGCCAACTCAAGTTTCTTCTCCAAGGATTTTCCAAGCAGGTCTGGTTGTGTTTTTATTTTCTTTAAAGCAAACACCCTGTCAACATATCCCATGGGTGAAGGACACAGAGTTGAACGTGTCTGCACCCAAAATTATAGACCTGCTGGTTTGAAATCTCCCTCTCTCTATCATTGGCACTCAGTCGACTGTAAATGGGAGCCCACTGTGAAACACGCGATCTCCAAATCTGCGTGAGTTCAGATGAATACATAACACTTGTTTATTACTTGTTTATTGACTTCCGGTGGCCAGCCCAACCCAACCCACAAGCCACAAGAACGTAATTTTCAGAATCTATAGATAACGCCTCAGGTACGTCTTATAAACCTACGATGACCCAGTTTGATACGAGTGTCACATGAAAGTCATATGTGAGTCCTGCAACTTAGCAGGCCTGGAATGGAAGTTTCCATCCCTGCTGTTCCCAGCTTAGCATAGCTCGGGGCCCTGCAAGCCCAAACTGCAGCTGGCCCTTATCAGCTCTCACCTTGAGCTGGGAAACTACTAAGCAGTAAACAAATTTGACCTCGGTCTCAGCTCATAAGAGTGATAAGAATGGTGTTGAGCCAGGTACGTGCACATCTGATAAACAACTGTAGTATACTAGTGCACGGAGTCCCGTGCCCACTGAGGCTCACCAGGGACCTAGACCTTGGAAGGTGCCCTTGATCCCCCCAGCTGGAGCCACGTCCACTGCAGCCTGGTGTGAGGTGACCGGAATGGGACGCCCCACAGACTGAAGGGGTGTAAGCATTTCCAAGTGCCTGTTGCTCATTTATATGCATTGCTTTGCCTATGCTAATTATTTGGATTAGTTTGCAGTAGTGGCGTGTTTGCCAATATTAAGTCTGTAATGGTAGTGGTGTAGTGAGATTTGTATTTTGTAGTAGCCGTGTAATCATTTGGCAGTATTACGTTTATCTTCATAGTGAGATTAATAAAAGTGACGAGGAGTCCTGTGGCACCTTAGGGTGTATCTAGACTAAAGGGTTTTGTCGACAAAAGTGGACTTTTGTTGACAAAACTATACCTGTGTCTACACTACCACCGAGTTCTGTCGACAGTAAGTTGACAACGCGGCAGTTTTGTCAGCGGCGGTAAACCTCATTCTATGAGGAATAACGGGGCTGCCGACAAAGGGCTTTGATGTCGGCAGGGGAGCGTCCAGACTAGCGCGCTGAGCGGACAAACAGCTGATCAGCTGTTTGTCGGCTCAGCGCGGCAGCCATGTAAATTTAAATGAAGCCACGATCATTTAAATCGCGGCTTCATTTGACTTTGCCTATGTGTCTAATCTACATGCCTCTGACGACAGAGGCATGTAGTCTAGACACAGCCTAAGGTGCCACAGGACTCCTTGTCGCTTTTGCAGATCCAGACTAACACGGCTACCTCTTTGATACTTGAGCAATAAAAGCACCTATCTGTCCCTAATTGACTCTGTCTTGAAGTGAATCCGCAGCCCTGTTGGGCACAATGCCCCTTGACTGGACAATGGGGTCTCTGTAGCTACCTTCCATGGGCAGCCTCTGCCAAACTAGTTTGTAGAGAGGAGAGGAGAGGGATGCTACAACCATTATGCACCCTATGCCTTCTGCAGGGTAGCAAGCAACCCCAGGGTCTCACCATGCAAGGCACAGACGGAGCTAGGTACCAGAGAATGAAAGCCGTCCAACCCAGCATCTACGTGGGGAGTTGCTTCATTAGCTAAGACCAGGTGCTGACAGCAGGGGATGTGTCCTTAAGCTTCACAGCCATCCCAAAGAGACAGGCACCTCACCCGGGATGCAGGGAAGGGTGCTTTTCTCCACTGGTGATCCATGAACTGGAGATGCAGAACAGCTAGTGGAGGAGATGCTCTCCTATAGAACCTGTAGCCCCCATTCCGAGGAAACTCACCTGAAGTGTAGGAGATCCTGGTTCAATTCCCCTTCCCCTTTACTCAGCACACAGTCAACCTGTGGAACTCCTTGCCAGAGGATGTGATGGAGGCTAGAACTTTAACAGGGTTCAAAAAAGAGCTAGATAGATTCATGGAGGTTACGTCATTCAATGGCTATTAGTCAGTATGGGTAGGAATGATGTCCCTAGCCTCTGTTTCTCTGCAAGTGGGAGATAGGGGAGGGATCACGTGAGGATTCCCTGTTGTGATCCCTTCCTCTGGGGCATCTGGCATCGGCTACCGTTGGCAGACAGGAAACTGGGCTAGATGGACCTTTGGTCTGACTCAGTACGGCCGTTCTTATCTTCTTACATGTAGCCCTGGCAACTGAAAGTCACGTTCTTAGGGAACTTAACACCGAACAGTCTGATGTCTAGTGAATTCAGGGTTTAAAAATGGCTTCTAAGGGGGGTGTTTAGGGGTCACAGCAGTGCTCAAATTTGTGGCTTTGTTGCCTAAAGTTTCTGGCTTTAGATGACCATCCTGGAAATCATGGAAACTTTGAAGCATGCCTGTTATTTTCAGTGAGCCAGCACTCCCGTTTTCCTTCCCCCATCTCTCCTTTCTATACACGGGGTTAGATAACCTATCAGGCAATAACCCTTCCCACCATGCAAGCTACAACTCACACCTCTGACAAACAGATAGGCCAGAGTTGGGCTAAGGTCACACAGGTCTTTCACCTTCGGCTCATGAATTCGCAAACGCCACCCATTTCCCGATTGCTTTCCTGAAGGCCACCTTGACATCCTTGTTTCTCAGGCTGTAGACGAGGGGGTTGAGCAGGGGTGTTACAACGGTGTAGCAAAGGGAGAATACCTTGTTCAGCTCCCGCAGCATCTCCGTTTTGGGCAGGAGATAGACCACGATCAGCGTCCCGTAGAACACGCTCACCACGATGAGGTGGGAGGAGCAGGTGGAAAAGGCCTTTTGCTTCCCGTCCGGAGAAGGGATGTGCAGGATGGCCATGATGATATAAATGTAGGAGGTCAGGGTAAGCAGAAAGGGGGGCAACGTGAACAAGATGGAGCCCACATAGGTCACAAGTTCCATCTTGCGGGTGTCACTGCAGGACAGTTTGATCATGGGGGTGAGGTCACAGAAGAAATGGTCCATTTCATTAGGGCCACAGAAAATCAACTGCGAGAGCAGGACTATGACAACGATAACAGCCAAGAACGCACTGATCCAAGACCCGGCTGCTAGCCAGAGGCAGAACCTCTTACTCATCTGGGTCGAATAATACAAGGGCTTGCATATGGCTAAATACCGATCATAGGACATGACAGCAAGCAGGTAACATTCGGTGTCTACAAGGGAGCCAAAGAAATACAATTGCACCAAGCAGCCAGTAACAGAGATGCTCCTGTCTCCTGTCAGGAGACTGGCCAGCAGCCGGGGCAGGATGGCGGAGCTGTAGCAGGTCTCCAGGCAGGACAGGTTCCCCAGGAAGAAGTACATGGGGGTGTGGAGGTGCGGATCCACCACAATCAATGCCATGATGAGGAGGTTTCCAGCCACGGTCACCATGTAAATCACTAGAAACAGCAGGAAGAGGAAGAACTGCAGTTCAGCATGCTCCCCAAATCCCAGGAGAATGAACTCGGAGGTGGACGTTTGATTTCCCCATTGTGGGCCGGTCGTGGGTTGCATCTAAGAGCCACAGGACAGAGCAGAATGGAATTGGAAGGTTATATTCTATGTCAAAGAGCGGCCTTGTATAACATGGCAAGGAACGTTTCAACACTTTGGTGCCTGCCTCTGTTTCCCTGCCCCATACTCAGGCCAGGGAAGTGAGTTGCCTCAGTTTGGAGCAGATTTTTGATAGTCTGGTGCACTACTGCAAACAAATAGAACTCAGACCGGGATTTCTCTAATCAGAGTCTGGCCTGCGTCCGTGGACGTTTTATTCTATTTTTGTGAGATGAAAAATGTCCGGCTTTGGCTAGGTTTCCACCCCAGTGTTGACATACACACGACAACTAACTTAGGGTGTGTGAATTCCAGGTCAGACTTGCAAAGTGTATTTGATTCTGCTCTGAACAGGGGATTGAACTCGATGGCTTCCTGAGGTCTCTTCCAACCCTAATCTTCTATGGCTCTGTGATACATAATGGGATTTCAAAACAAAATGTAGGTATCTAATAATTCCCATTAATTTTTATGAATTGTAGGCGCTGACTTCATTTTGAAAACCCACTTGGCTCCTAAATACCATTAAAAATCAGACCTTCAAGTGCCTACAAATACAGCCTCTCCCCGAGTTACGAACAAGTTACGGACCAACACTTGGTCTGTAACTCGAAGTGTTCGTTAACTCGGATCCCATAGAGTTACATGGCAACCGCGCTGTTCGTAAGCGTGGATCACCGTTTGTAACTTGGATCCGCATTTACGACCGCTTTGGTCATAAGTGCAGATGGTCATAAGTGGAGGTGGTCGTAATTCGGGGAGCGGCTGCATTTGGTAACCAGCTCTTCAGTGTAGCAGCTCTTCCCATCTAATAGTTGGAAGTTGAGGCTCACAATGGACATAAGGCATGTGTTTCAAACAGCCCAGGTCATTAAGCATTTGGAGCACTTACCAAGGTTCGTGGTGGGTTCTCCATCCCTCGCAATTTTCAGTCACCGTTGGTTGTTTCCCTGAAACAACGGCTTCGGTGCTAACAGGAATTACTCTGTGGAAGTTCTCTGACCTGTTGTCCTACGGGAGGTCAGTTGCTCATAGTTGTCCATTCAGGTCACGGAAAGTACAAGTCTCTGAGAGTTTGACTTTGCATTTCCATCTGATTGCCAAGAGAAGAATGGGTGAAGGTCGCTTTACCTTCACCTCATCTGGATGTTTCTTTATCTCTGATGTGACTCCCGTTCAGACAGCTTTTTGGGAAACAAGGACACCTGTCTCTGTCCTCTTCATTTGCTTCCATTCTCTCGGCAGGCAGATAGGTACCGCTTGGTACCCATTGTCCCGTGTGAACTACCAAAGAACCCACACCTCTTCTGACTCATGATTTATCTTCCATGTGAGAAAGAGGAGTTTCCCCTGGCAGTGTGGCTGAGGGGTGGTTGAAATTAAACCCAAAGCTAATCACAGCTGTAGTCTCTAGCGAGTATGAACAGCGGTGGGAAATTAGGAACTGAGGACGGCAGCTAAGCTCCAGAGATGTCTTTGTTTCTCTCAGGTAGAGGAGAGGGCAGCTCAAGAAACGGACATAATAATGCACCAAACCATGAAGATACATAGAGTGGGGTGATCAGGAATATTTTGTGCGACTCATCATCCATCTGTCGAAGAGTCACGGCACCGAGGCAGAATGGGGAGCGGTCTCTGTTTAAAAAGTGGAGGCTGGACACAGTGGGTATGTCTAGACTACATGGCTCCGTCAACGAAGCCATGTAGATTTGTTTTTTTGGCAAAGGCAAATGAAGCCGCGATTTAAATGATCGCAGCTTCATTTAAATTTACATGGCTGCCACGCTGAGCC